ACTCCAGTCTGGCCTTTCCCTGACTAACTTCTCTGTTTTCCTCATTCTGTTCCAGTTCCTCACAGTCTTTTGGTCTTACCTTGTGGCTCTCTCCCTTTTCATCAACTGCTGATAACAGTCCATATCAGTGCTTGAGAATTCCACTGGCAAGGACTGGGTAACTGCATAAGGCCCCAGTCCTGAAGATTGCTCATTGTCCCCCTGTTCATCATTGCCACAATTCTGGGGTTTAGACTTTTGTGACTGTTCCTTTATACATTTACTTTCAAGTGTTTGGAATGCGTTCTCATGGAATGATTCCATATTAAAAACATTCCCTGCTTCCCTACTCATTGACTCTAACAGCCATATACTCCAAGCATCTCTTTCATTTGGGCGTGTCATCTTTTTATGATGATCATACCAGAGGTCTTCCCAGGTCTTAGGTTTAAAAGTACCTCTTTTAGAATACTTCATTCCAGTCCAGCGCTCCCAATCATGTATATATTCTACCACCCAGGGTCCATATTTACCGATCATCTCTTCCCTTGGGGTCAGTTGGCAGGGTTTGCCACACTTAGACGCCCTCCTTGAGTTGATGCTGTTACCCATCCTTACGGATACCGGACCCTGGAATAATTCCCAACCTTAAGCGGTTGCCCCCAGAGGTAGCTAATCTCTGGCCAATGATTGGGTTGACAGGTTCTGCCCCTGTCACCGTTGCTGCTTTTCACTACTTGTAATATAGTCCTTCAAGCAGCCTAGGGATCACCCGAACTTGATAGTTCAATCCCCCCCCGTGGACGTTTCTGAAGTATTCTGACAGATTTTTTCCTAAATTGCTCCTATTATCCCAAGAAGGATTAGAGCAAACTTAAATAATCAAAATTTGAGTGCTTGAAACGCATCAGGCGTGAGACACAGCTACTTGCAGTATGGTGTGTAGTAGTTACAATATAGCTGGTTCTCACAGATCTAACTACACGCTTACAATCTACAGTTAGTAAATTACAAAGAGGACAGATTCATACTCACACCCCGCTGCAATAGGTGCAACCCAGCAGTTATGATGTTTCCTTATACACTCTCAGTACAATTTTAATTCAATTATACTGTTCATAATCAGTCTCATCAAAATATTAGTAAAGACAAAAGGTAAAAATGACATTCGACAAAGCTTACTAGTCTAGGTATTTTAGACAGAAATGGAAGATAGACATGAAAACAAAGAAAGATGTAAATAATTATCTATTCCACACAACAAGTAACATTTACCTAAACATTCAGACTTCCTCACTAAAGGGGCACCATTTGTTTTGGCGGTTTTCCTACCCACACTTATTTACTTGGTTCTATACAGATTATAAATGTAATAAGTGATTATAACCCTTTGTCTATACCTGAATTTAGCCAATAGTGTTAATATTAAAAGATAACCACTGTGCAAAAAATAAAGATCTAATTTATTTACAAAGCAAGGAAGCTTTCTATTAATAGAATACAACAAAAATATAATACAGAATGTTACCAATACAAAGACTACAAGAAAGAAATAGTTACAAGAAAAAAGACAGAGCAATGGTGATACATTACAGCGATCCTGATGTTCTGAGGTCTGTGCTCATGAAGGCACATGGCACGAAAAGGGAGGCTTCTCCTCTGTCCAAGGTGTTTTATGCACGTTACAAAAGACCATCCCAAGAACCACCCATGCAAGTAAATCACACCTCAAATGGGTGGGCTTCAGAGCAATGACCAGTTTAAATAAAAGAAAGAACAGGAAATTCAAGTTGCCTTCCATCCCCCTCAGCTCCATTGAGTCTTTTGTAGTGTAATCCCCCAACAGTCAATAACCTTCATGAAGATGTAGGCCCAAAATTGCCATTACAGATCAATAAACATACGTGTGTAGACAAAAAACATCACATGATGACATAAATAAGTGAAAACCAAACATGCGTCCCCAAAAACGGGAAAAAAACGTGACGGGTCAGGAGTGAAGTGATAGATGAATGGCATAAATTATGCCTCAATAGAAAGTGCCCTGTAAAAATAACTCACAACAAATGTGAATGCACTAAAATGATAAGGTCAGGATAGAACCTGATAACAAAATCCTATGAAAACCACATGACCTCCTAACACATCAATGTGTTAAATCAAAGTGATGAATGACAACCAATTGTTGTGTAACTGGTGGGATGCAATCCCTAATTGGGATAAATAAGTGTGAACACAAACACATAGAAATCAGTTTTACAACACCATAACAGATAGTGAAAGAAAAACTTTTTAAAGAAAACTGCGTATTGCTCAAAATAGTGCCACTAAATCATTTATATAATGGCGAAAAAGTCCCCTTGTGCACTTTTCAAACGAGTGAACCACATATATTGGTGATGAAGGTGATATGAGTGAGAAAAAAAAAAATCAGGATTGCCCCCTCACCTTATTGCAGCAACATCACTTCTGGCGGAGGCGCCATCTTTGTACACCCAAAGAGTACACCCGCCAATATACTATACATGAGGCTCTGTAAGCTTGATTTTGAACATGCAGATGTGAGTGTGCTACTTGCTGGTTTACTTTTGTGGTATTAAACATACAGTATTACACTATGGGAGTTTCTTCTTGTTTTTAATCCATATATGAGTTGGCTGAGTTTAGCATCCTGTCGCTGTGAGAAGCTTGGATATCTGGATGGGTCATTCTCAGTGCGGCATGTAAAGGGGGATACCACCATTACTGCTTAACCTGAATCATTGATGTGGATGGGTCGTATTAATATACCTGGCAATTTGAAGGCCCATTGGCCCTTTGGGTCGCTGCAATAAGGTGAAGGTGCAATCCAGCCATTGAAGGATCCCAATTTTTTTCACTCATATCACCTTCATCACCAATATATGTGGTTCACTCGTATGAAGAGTGCACAAGGGGACTTTTTCGCCACTATATATGAATGATTTAGTGGCACAATTTTCAGCAATACGCAGTTTTCTTTGAAAAGTTTTTCTTTCACTATCTGTTATGGTGTTGTAACACTGTTTTCTATGTGTTTGTGTTCACACTTATTTAACTCAATTAGGGATTGCATCCCACCAGTTACACAACAATTGGTTGTCATTCATCACTTTGATTTAACACATTGATGTGTTAGGAGGTCATGTGGTTTTCATAGGATTTTGTTATCAGGTTCTATCCTGACCTTATCATTTTAGTGCATTTACATTTGTGAGTTATTTTTACACGGCACTTTCTATTGAGGCATAATTTATGCCATTCATCTATCACTTCACTCCTGACCCAAGTCACGTTTTTTTTCCCAGTTTTTGGGGACGCATGTTTGGTTTTCACGTATTTATGTCATCATGTGATGTTTTTTGTCTACACACACGTATGTTTATTGATCGAAGTATCACATGTTATTATTTATGTCTATATGCATAAGATTATTGGTTTAATGTATATATTTATGGGTTGTATTTAGTGTATTTAGATACCATTTAGGGAGTGCAACACCATTTTTTTTCATTGTTCATAAGAAACCTTCATTGTACATTTATTTTTGATCAAGATCGGGCCAGGTTAAGACAAGAGAAGGACTTGAATAAAATTAAGAATTTCTCAATGCAACAATTCAGAGCACTTAGAAACTTCATTTTACTTCTTGAGCAAAGTACCCTTGATATCCAGCAGAGCCAGGTGCCTGTATATCTCACTAGCCCCATTGATTCTAGTAGACATTCATAGACCGCATTGGATAGTACTCCCTTTAAATTGAAATTCAGAAAATTTCCTGACTTACTTAAAAATCCCAATATTTGTTGTAGAATTTGTTATAGAACTGGTCAGTAGAAAACGCATGGAAGTGAAACCTAGGGAACACAATCTGACAGCTGCCCGTGCACTTGCCACTCTTAGGACTAGACATGATTTAGTGTTTAAACCGTCTGACAAAAGCGGTAATATTGTTATGACAGAAACACAATATTTCAAGATGTGTATGAACATTTTTAAACAACAAAGAATGGTATCGACCCATAGTAGCAAGCTTAGTGGAAGGCTTTATCTCTGAATACAAACAGTTTCCTTCCAGAAGCGTTTGCGGATGCACTTATTGATAAGGTTACATATGAATTTTTAAATACTGCTCATCCACAAGCTCCAACATTCTATGCCCTCCCCAAGGTCCACAAAAATCAGACATCCCCTCCTGGTAGGCCTATTGTCTCCGGGATGGGATCCTTAATGACAGTAGACTTGTTGACTGGCACCTTATGCCACATGTTATTAGACTGCCGTCCTACCTGTGTGACACATTAGACCAGGGGTCCTCAAACTACGGCCCCGTCGAAGCCATTTATCCGGCCTGCCGGTAGGGGCAGGACAGGAAGGGACACTAAGTACAGGGGTGGGCAGGGGGCTGCTCTACCTTACCTGGCTCCGGTCCCAGTCCCACGAAGAACCAGTCCAGGAAGCGCTGCTCCTTCATTCACTCCGGCCACTCCCTCACTCCTGCCGCTCGGCTCTGCCTCCTCACCGGTGATTGGGCGCCAGAACTGTAGCTCAGGAAAGGCACACAGGCGGCCAATCACCTGTGAGGAGGCGGAGCCGAGAGGCCCTGCGAACATCGAGTGAGAGAGAGGCCGGAGTGAAGAAGGACAGCTGACAGGTAAGTGTGCCGTGCTGATGGTGCTGCTGCAACCAGGTATGCTGGCTGCAGCAGCACCATGCTGGAACGGGAGGAATAGTGCCCCATCCGTGGTGTCACTGATACTAATGATGGGGCATTATTCCTCCCACTGACACCAATGATGGGGCACTATTCCTCCCACTGACACCAATGATGGGACACTATTCCTCCCCCCACTAACACCAATGATGGGACACTATTCCTCCCCCCACTAACAACCAATGATGGGACACTATTCCTCCCCCCACTGACTCCAACGATGGGGGCACTATTCCTCCCCCCACTGACACAAAACTATGGGGCACTATTCCTTCCCACACTGACACCA